TTTCTTTCTTTCTTTCTTTCTTTCTTTCTTTCTTTCTTTCTTTCTTTCTTTCTTTCTTTCTTTCTCTCTCTCTTTCCTTTCTTTCTTTCTTTCTTTCTTTCTTTCTTTCTCTCTCTTTCTATTTCTATTTCTTTAATAGTTTAATGTATTTTAATAGCAAACTTACAGGAACAGCACAGAAGACAGACAACATTAAAAACACGTATTTGCATGTAGAACAACTCAGAAAAGTATAGTGAATGGATGTAATCTACTGCCACTACTGTTTGCTACAAACACCATTTAGTTGCTTTCAATAAGAAATTTACCTATTTTTTTATAATCCAAATGCTGGGATTGTCCAGAAAAATTTAACAGGTTTATTTATAATTGTTAAAAAGTTGAACTGTTGAAATGTGTTCAGTGAAACATTTTGCTTGCATTAATGCTTTCTATCTTTCTCGTATATTTTAAATATTTACACAAAAATGAACGTAGAAAAACTGCCAGTACCTGATTTCGGTCCCCTATTTTTCCACTCAGCAATCATATACTTTTCTATCTTTTGACCTATGAGAAAAGAAATTAACATTAAGAACTACTGATAACAGGCAGAAGAGGATAAAGCTTTTTGAGAATGAAATGTTTTCCCTCATAGTGGAGTCTTTAAGTACATTTTCCACTTATGTAGTGTGCTAGCTGGCATAATTGTTACATGTTTCGTATCGATAGCACACAGTTTGGTATTGTCAAAAAGGGCAACGCCACCTCCCAAAATGATGATGAGAAATTCTGTCATGGATGTGGGAATAAGGGAACATTTATTCATTGTTGGTAAGAGTATAAACTGGTACAACCAATTTAGAAATCAGTGTGAAGGTCCTTCAAAAAGCTAAAAACAGATTTACCGTATCTTATGGCACATACTTTGCATAATATGTGTTCTGATACAAAAGTGTTTTACAGAATATTTTTTCACTCATATTTTAAATAAAGTTACTAGGAGATATTTTAAACTAATGACAACAACAACAACAACCAGCTATACCTCACTTCCCTTTTGCAAAACACCAATAGCTGCACTCTGGAAGTACAGAACTGTTTTGAAGTCCTGAGCAATTTTTCCCACTAGATGTTGGAAATGGAGCTTGAGAGTCAAAAGTTCATTGGATTACTATTAACGTGTGCCACAGCCCCAAGGCTGTAACCATGAGGATTCTTCACCCCTCCAGTAGCAGGAACACTCTTGGGAGTAGCTTTTGTAGCTAGTTGTTTCCTGGGTGCTTTATTACTGGTAGGTTTGTGTACAGTCTGCTCTGTAGGAGCCATGGTATGGGCACATTCTTACTTACTCTCTTCCTTCTTCAGCTGGAGCTTGGCAAGTGAGAGGAAAGCCTAGCCTGCTCTCTTATAGAACCCAGGACCACCAGCCCAGGGATGGCACCACCTACAGTGGCTGGGCCCTCCCCCATGAAGCACTAAGAAAATGTCCCACAGGCCAGTTAGGGAGAGATTTTTCTCAGTTGTAGTTTCCTGTCTCAATTTGACCAGAAAATCAACCAATGTACCCATGTTGCAACCTTATGCTCTGTGTATCTTTCTGATCTTATGCCTATCAAGATAAAAAAAAATATCATGTAATATTAAAAAAAATTATTTGATTCTCTCTTTGTACCTTTTCTTTTTCAAGAATTCTGCTTTTGAAGATTGTTTTCCATTGTTATCCACATTTATAATTTCTTTTGGATTCTTATTAAAAACAAGCTCTCTCCCTTGGTCTCCTAGTCTATCAAGTTGGTGGTGGCTGGAGTCCTTGATAAAGGGTTTATTTTGACTTATTATTTGAGGAGTTACATTTCACTGTGGCAGGGAAGGCAGGAAGGGGAAAACAGAGGCAGTTGGTCACATTGCAGCTATGGCTAAGAAATAGAGTGGCTTCTTTTTTTTCCCCCTGTTATTCAGATTGGGAATTTAGTCCATGGATGATGTTACCCACGTTTCAACCTCTCTGGAAACACCTCTAGAGACATGCCCAGAGATGTATTTCACAGGTATCCTAAACAGGACGTTGGATGTGATGAGGAGAGGTAGAAACAAATACATGTTCAGGCCACTCAGTAGAATCTCATTAAGAATTTATGGAGTTTTCACTGAGATAATTCTTGACTATTATACCCAGTTTCTTCCTCTGGATACTATCTTTGTCATCTGCAGCTCTATCTTATGCTGGATCTATACAGACATGGCTTTTGAGGCTTCTAAATTTCCTAGTTGGCTTGGCCTTCTGATTAAAGCGTTAACAGACATTGGGCAGGAGGGTGATAACTCTTGTCTCCCTTTTTTTGCAGAAAACAAAAAACCCAGTAAAGGTTCCAAAGGCTGTAAGAAGGTAAGTGGGCCTTACCTTCAAGTGAGGTGTGTGAATTGTGGGGGGTCAGCTCAGTAGTTATTGGGCGACTCTGGATAGAGTACCTCATTGGGATGAACAGACCTAGCTTTTTTCCAGTCCTCATGGCTGCAGCAGAATCACCTAAATATATGAAATTCTTCCCAAAAGCTATATACTGCTTTGTGCCTGGTTTACTTGTTAGGGTCTATTGCCATCTCTTATTTTTGTAGTGCTAGGTATCAAATTCAGGGCCTTGAGCATACCAGGCAAGTGCCACATACCCTCAGGCCCCAAACTTGTATTTTTGGCAAGTTCTCAGGTCTTGTTGCTGAGGTCCTAAGACCACATTGTAGAACTGTTTATCAGGAAAGGTTCCCTTTGGCTTTGAGAAATCTTCCCAGCTACTGCAGCCCCCTCCACATTCCTGACAGTCCCTGCCTGCTTAGTAGAGAAGGACCTCACCCTAGCCAGACAAGCAGATTTCTGGGCAGAACCCTCATCTAGATTATATTCACTGTTTCTCTGGGTGAGGTGGTTTCCATGGGTTCATCAACTGTGTTTTATTTTTCTTCTCTTGTTTGCTAACTAGCCTGCAAGGCAAAATGGGAAGAAAGTAACCTCCAGACCATCATTTGCTCCACAGTTTGTTCATGGCAATGACCATGCCAGTCGGGAGGCTGAATTAAAGAAGAAAAGGGTGAGCCTTTTGTCTTTGGGGAGTGATGGCCTCCTTTGAATGTTGGATCTGTATAATTGTTGGGCAGAAGGGCAGGGATTCTTGATGCTCTTTGTAGTTTGAGATTGGGAGAGTGAGGCAGGTTACCTTGATGCTGGTTTTTATTTTTCATTTGCTCCCTTTGTTCTGTCCTCCCAGTTCATTGCTGTCTGGCTTATGTTCCTGGTGTTCCATTAAAACCTCTGCTGCTGGCCTCTGACCTACACATGCCTCTGATCACACTTGATACCATGCTTTCCTTAAAACACTCTCATTTCGACTTTGTCATTTCCCATTTCTAGATGTTTCCTTTCTCTGTGACTAGTTTTTTGTAGTCTTTTGCTGCTATTTAAAAAAATATTTTAATTAAATTTTTATTTTTTATAGTAATTACAATTTATTTACTTTGTATCCCAGCTGTAGCCTCCTCCCTCATTCCCTCCCAAGCCCACCCTCCCTCCCTCATCTCCTCCATGCCCTTCTCTAAGTCCACTGATAGGGGAGGTCCTCTTCCCCTTCCATCTGAACCTAGCCTATCAGGTCTCATCAGGACTCGCTGCATCATTCTTCTCTGTGGCCTGAAAAGGCTGCTTCTCCCTCAGGGGAAGGTGACCAAAGAGCCACCCACTGACTTCATGCCAGAGACAGTCCCTGTTCCCCTTACCAGGGAACCCACTTGGATACTGAGCTGTCATGGACTACGCCCGAGTAGGGATTCTAGGCTGCTTTTTTCTTATTTGTTGAGGCAGGGTCTTGCTTTGGTGCCCAGGTTGGTCTTGAATGCTGGGGCTCATGAAATACCTCTACCTCAAACTGTGAGTGGTTGGGGCTATAGGTTTGTCCCAGTGTGGCAGCTCTTTTTCTGCTTGGTACACCCTATGACCTTATCTGTGTTTTGATTTGATTGTTTTCCTCTTAAAATGCTTCTCTCTCTGCTTGTCAGCTACTCTTTTTGTTTTTAATATGTTCATTCTTTCTAATTCTTAGTAATTTTAAAAAATATACCTTTTAAAATTTATTTGTGATGGAGGTGGTAATGGGAGGGGCAAATACAGGCCTATAGATGCCATGCTACACATGTAGAGGTTAGAGGACAACTTAGGGCAATTAATTCTACCTTAGATTCCAGAGATTGAACTCAGTTTGTCAGGCTTTCCTGGCAATCCGTGTTTTTACCCATGGTTCTACCTTCCTAGTTCCCCTGACCCCCTTTTTAAGTTTTTGAGACTGTCTTGAATGATACAGGGTCCTCTATGTAGCTCTGGTTGGCCTGGTGGCCTTGAGGCTACTATATGGTTCTGGCTGGACTTGATATAATGGCGGTTCTCCTGCCTCAACCTCTCAAGTGGCTGGATTTTACAGTTGTGTGCCACTATGCCCTACACTTATTTTAATTTTAATTTTTCTTTCTCCTTCCCTTAGTCTCTCTGCATTTTTCTTCTTATGTATTCTCTCCTACTGTCCTTTTCTTTTATCTGTACTTCTCTTTTGGTTTTTTGAGACAAGGTTTCTCTGTGTAGCCCTGGCTGTCTTGGAACTGGCTCTATAGACCAGACTGGCCTCTAACTCACAAAGATCTATCTGCCCCTGCCTCCCAGGTTCTGGGATTACAGTCGTACGCCACCACTGCCAGGCATATCTCCACTTCTTTCTTCCCATGTACTGCAGACATTCAGTACATAGCTCTAGTTACAGTGTATGTTTGCTTGTTTATTAGGTTGAGGAGATGAGGGAGAAGCAGCAGGTTGCCCGGGAGCAAGAGAAACAAAGACACAGGACCATTGAGAGCTACTGTCAGGATGTCCTGAAACGTCAGCAGGAATTTGAACACAAGGTAAGAAAGCAGCTCTTGCTGATGAGTCGAATTGGAGTTGACTTGTTGTTTTGCTGTAAAGGAAGAAATGACTATGTAGTGAGTCTCTGTCTCAAGGAAAAAAGAGAAAAAAAAAGCTGGGTTTGATTGATGTCCCTGGGAGGTCTGCTCTTCTGTAGGGAGGGGGGTATTCGTCTGGGGGTGGGGAGAGGGGAAGTGCAGAGGAGAGGGAAAGGAAACTGGTCAGGATGTAATATATGAGAGAAGAATAGAAAAATTAAAAACAAAGAAAGTGTATAAGGTCAGTAGAGGAAAGGGATGAGTGCAGAGAAGGAAAACAATTGGGAGAGAGAGTAAGATAGAGAGAAAAAGGGGTCATTTTGCAGTGTGCCGTTGACTACACACATCTGTGGAGAATGCCTTTCTAAAGTTTTGGCCTAAAGATGGGCTGGCAGTGGGACTAGGGACCAGGAGAATTGTGATTAGGGGATGTGGCAGGAGGGAGCAGAGGAAAGGAGGGTTGAGAGACAGGAGCAGATGCAGAGTATCTTACCTCCCTTGTAGGCTTTCTTTTTTCCCTTCCTGGCATTTGTTGTCCCACAAATGCAATGTGCACGTGTAGGTCTGATAGCCTCGCTGACTTTCAGTAAAGGTTTTTTTCCTAGTCCCATGTACCTCATAGATGATTCTTTTCACACTTTCCTCTTGCCTTTTTACCTACCCTTATGAGCAAGTAGGCCTCTGGCTGGAGCTCAAATGCACATGCACATGTAGGAATGTACACAGGCCACTTGGCTCTGTCTGCTTTTGTTCTGGTTTCCCAGCATTTTTGGTCGTTGGCAGTACTATTAAAAAATAGAATTTATTATTACTGTGAGAGAGAGAGAGAGAAAGAGAGAGAGAGAGAGAGATTCACAAAATCTGTATGGAGGTGACTGAACACCTTTGTGGAGTCAGCTCTGTCTCCCATCTTGGTTCAAGGGATTTAACTCCGGTCACCAGACTTAACAGCAAGTGCTAAAACACTGAGCCATCGTGTTGACCCAGCCAGTGCTACTTTTAAGTGGTCTAGGACTTACGTATATCCTCCATCTTCCTGAGGTTTTCAAAAGTTTTGTGGGTTCTATTCTCCCTCCTTCCTTATCTTCCCTTCTTTCTTCTCTCTCCCGTTTGCTTCTACTTGCTTCTTTTTTCCCGTAGGCTATTCTCATTTTTTTCTTTTTCCTTTAGGAGGAAGTTTTGCAGGAATTAAATATGTTTCCTCAGTTGGATGATGAGGCCACAAGGAAGGCCTATTACAAGGAATTCCATAAGGTAAGAGGATCCTTTTCTTCTTTTTTCTTTGTTTTGTTTTTAAGTAAGGTCTTACTCTTCAGCCTAGGCTAATCTAGAACTCACTGTATATCCCAAACAGTTCTTGAACTACTTGCAGTCTTCCTGATTCATCTTCACAAGTGCTGGTTGTTGGCTTGAGCTACATAACAAGTTTCGATTTCTTGAAGCTCTTTGGTGGGGACCCCTGTGCATTTCCATTTCTTCACTTTTTTTCTGACTGAGATAGAGACTGCTTAATCTGTTCCCAACCTTTTCCCTTGTATTCTCTGTCCTGTAGGTGGTTGAGTACTCTGATGTGATTCTGGAAGTCCTGGATGCCAGAGACCCATTGGGCTGCCGCTGTTACCAGATGGAAGAGACTGTCCTTCGGGCAGAAGGCAACAAGAAGCTGGTCTTGGTCTTGAATAAGATTGGTAGGTTTTGAAAGAATTGGGTAAGGCAGGGAAGGGGCTAAGCTGAGGCAAGCTCAAATTAGGTGCTGAAACCCAGGTATACAGTGGCGTAGTCATTTGTAGTAGGAATTCTTTTTCAGATTTCCAAAGCCAGAAATATTTTCTGATATACACACAAGACATAGACAGAATATAGCATGGGTTGGGAGTAGAGTCTGAGCCTGTTTGCCTTTCAGCCCCTTTCCTTGCAATTTTAAGCCAGTTCTATGGCTGATCAGTTTTAGAGACCTGTCCCTAAAAACTGGAACTCAAAAGATTGGGGCAAGAGAGAGAACATGGCTTGGGACTCACTGGATGTTTAGTCTTTTCCCACTTTTGCTATTAAGTCATATCACTCATGAGAACTTCTATTTCTCTATAGTAAACAGAGTCATGAAGCTGGGCACAGTGACACATGCCTGTAATCTCAGCACTCTGGGAGGCAGAGGCAGGTGGATTTCTGTGAGTTCAAGGCCAGCCTGGTCTACAAAGTGAGTCCAGGACAGCCAAGGCTATACAGAGAAGCCCTGTCTCGAAAAAAGCAAAACAAAACAAAAAATAGTGTCATGAACATCTCAGTCTCGTAGCTTCATTGTAAGAATTAGCGTAGAGCTTGGTGTATAATCTGTACTTCACAAATCATAGCTATTCTTGGTGATAGTTTTACTTGGCCCTTAGCTTAGCCTAGATTGATTGGAAGAGGGAATGGAAATAAAATATTTGAGCAACTTGACATGGAAGGGGGATGTCTGCTATAAAACTATTTCTTTATGTATTTTCTTTAAGGAAAAAAAAACATTCTCAGGGGTGGTCCGCTGGTCCTGTTGATCAAGTTGTCCTTTGTAACTCCATCCCAGGGGCAGGGGACTGGACAGAGACAGTTAGGGAAAGAGAAGAGATCTGTTAGTAGAAGGTGGGCCTAGACATGAGTGTGTGGCTTGGGGGAAGCCATGGAAATAATGTTCTTAGAAGTTGTACCTGCTTCTGTTTTTCCCAGACCTGGTTCCCAAGGAGATTGTGGAAAAGTGGCTGGATTATCTTCGTAATGAGCTGCCAACTGTGGCTTTCAAGGCTAGCACCCAACATCAGGTCAAAAACTTGGTAAGCTTTGAGTCAGGGTATCTAACCTCTTTCATGTGGTTTGGGCTATGGTTGGAGGTGTTAAGGTTTGGATTGGGTCGGATGGTGGCACATACCTTTAACCCCAGAACTTGAGAGGCAGAGTCAGGTGGATCTCTGAGTTGGAGGCCAGCCTGGTCTACAAAGTGAGTCCAGGACATTGTGTAGCCGGGGTTACACAATGAATTCCTGGTTTGGAAAATGACAACAACAAAAAGACTTAGATTGGGCTTTCAACTTTGAGCTATTTCCTCTAGTGGGTGACTTGTTAATTTTTATTTTACTTCTTCCTATATTATTGCTTTTCAGAAAGCATACTTTTTTTTCCCCAGCTGTGAGGATATAATAATACATACTATCTATAAGAGATCTGGAAAACAGAGTTAACTACTTGTTAACTCTTCAAAAAATATTCATTGTTTTCCTATTTAAAATGCATAAGAACCTGGAGAGATGATGGCTCGGTGGTTAAGAATACTTGCCACTTTGCCAGAGGACCCAGGTTCATACCCAGCACCCACATGGAGGTTTACAACCATCTGTAACTCCAGTTCTAGGGGATTTGACACCTGCTTCTAACCTCTCCAGATTATAGGCATGCATGTGGTGTACAAACATAAATACAGGCAAAACACTCATATACATTAAATAAATCTTTTTGTTGTTGTTTTGTTATATTATTCTGAGGCAGGGTTTCTCTGTGTAGCCCTGGCTGACCTGGAACCTGTTATATAGACAAGGCTGGCCTCCAACTCAGAGATCCTGCCTCTACATCCCAAGCGCTGAGATTAAATGTATGTGCCATTACCACAACTTTAATAAATAAATCTTAAATAAAAACCAACCAAACAAAGCTGTGTGGTAGTGGTGCATGCCTTTAATCCTAGCTCTTAGAAGGCAACGGCTGGTGGATCTCTGAGTTTAAAGATAGCCTGGTCTGCAGAGAAGTTTCAGGACAACCAGGGCTACCCAGAGAAACCTTGTCTTGAAAAACAAACAAACAAACAAAACAAAACAAAAAGTCCCAGATAAGGCATAGTACTTCCTATTGATATCAATATAAAAATACTCATAAAATATTAAAGTATTATAGTAACATTGGTTGTTTCTGGGGAGGTAAATTGGTTATTAGAGGACAAGTTTTTACATTTTGCACTATTTTTTTGCAGTGCTCAGAGTGGAACCCAGTGCTATGTCGATAGACAATCTGCTGCTGAGCCCCTACTTTTCAATTTTCCATTATTATTTAAGCAGTGTTTTTATTAATCTACTTGTGTGTATCTGGTTGGCATATAGATAAGTATTAGTGCAGACTAAGTACTGAACGATGGTGTGGCTCAATCATACTATTGCCTTTATGCTTTAGATATTTTCTTAGACACCAACAAACTATCCTTTATAATACTGCGCCAATTAAACCTCCTCCCCCTTGGGTAGATGGATGTGTGAAGGGAACCTCTTTCCCTACACTCTTGCCAGCATAGTATATCTTATTTATAATTCTGTGCCTCCCTACTCCCCTGGCATCAAAAATAAAAGTAGGCCTGGTGGTGGTGGTGTCTTTAATCCCAGTACTTAGGAGGCAGAGGCAGGCGGATCTTTTAAGTTTGGGGTCAGTCTGGTCTATAGAGTGAGTTTCAGGATAGCCAAGGCTTCACAGAGAAAGAAACCCTGTCTCAAAAAACAAAACAAAATTAGGGAGGTTGGGATGGCCTTGTCCTGATTGAAGAGTCAAGGGAAGATCAGCTTTGGGCTGAGCACCCTCTCTGCACAGGCAGCGAGGTCAGGCCTCCCTTTTGTGCATATGAGATACTGAGGCCCCAGGAAGGAAAACAGGCTTTTCCTCATAGGCTTGTGAGTGAGAGAGAGAACTGAAACCTGTTTTGCCTTGAGCTGGATTGTCTTCCTGCCTCTGCTGTGGGAGGCAAAGGCCATGTATGTTGAGACAGAAGCTGGGACAGAGAAAATTGGAGACAAAGATAACTGGAAACAAGGAAGAGCTGGCGAGAGTATCGATCCCATGGTGGTTCTGGGTATTCCACTGCAGGTTGGAAATTTCGGCGGAGATTCCATTTCCTACCTGTTGCCCATTTTGTAATATTCCTCATTTTTAGACTCGATGTAAAGTTCCAGTGGACCAGGCCTCTGAGTCGCTGTTGAAAAGCAAAGCCTGCTTTGGAGCTGAAAACCTCATGAGGGTTCTGGGGAACTATTGCCGCCTGGGGGAAGTGCGTACCCACATTCGTGTGGGTGTTGTAGGTAAGGCTGGGCAAATAGGCATGGGACTGAGGCTCCTTCTTTGGGCAGTGGTTTCATTGAGGGAATGAGTTTAGAATTTTGTAGTCAAGGGTGGTTTTGCCTTTGCAATTTAGCTAGTAGGGCATGGGAAGGCATATTCAGATTTACTACTGTTTGGACCTAATAATTGGTGCCAAATATTACAGGCTGTCAGAACTGTGGGAGGGAAGTATGATTCACCCACCTCTTACAGATGAGAAGAGTGAGACTCAAAAAAGGAAACAAGGCAGGGCTGAGGTTTAAGCCTGGGTCTTTCTGAAACCCAAGTACTGAAGAAGGAGATGAAAGAGAAAAGGAAATTGAAAGGGAGGGAAAGTGTCTCAGCTTGAGACAGACACTAAAGAAAACTGTACAAGGAATGTACAGCTGTATACCACACTCTTGAATAGACAGCAGAAGACAGAAGGAACAGGGAGGCCAGATTGCAAAGTTGATTGGTAAAGAAAAGACAAATTTAAGTGACAGTCATAAAGACAGTGAAGAAGATATCACCCCAAAGAAATGCCAAAAGGGACATTAAAAATTATTATGTATCCAGGCCTCATGACCCAGAACTGTGTGCTAGCTACTTTGGAGGGTTTGAATTCAAGGCCAGCCTTAGGCAGCTTAGTGAGTCCTCATTTCATAACAAAAGAGCTGGGAGTGTTGCTCAGTGGTGGAGGGCTTTCCTACTATGTGTGAGACCCTGGATACAGTCCACAGTACTAAAAATAACAGGAAACACATAAAGTGTGTACAGAGACCTATAGAGGGAATGGTGAAGGAGAGATACTTGGGGTATGTGCTTGTATAGATATGCATCTCCAAAAAAAGAACATCCAGGAATGTAGACAGTTTGAAAGAAAGAGATAGATATACACATAGAGGAGCATACAACACAGAGAGATCCCGAAGAACATATAGATCTCCATGCATGGAGTCATGCACAGGCCTGGAAGGGACACATCTGCAGGCACAGACAGACTCAGAGGCTAAATGTGCTGACCAGGTTTTTCTACAATCGCTTCCCCAAAGTGAAAGAAGCTACTAGGATAGCACATGTGCCCAGATACACTGCAACGCTCTAATGCAAACTGGAATCGCAGAGAGGCAAACAGGCTTGACAGTGATGAGACAGAATTATTTGTATTGTGAGAATTAAAGCCATGGTTAAGGAGGCACACAAAGAATAAGAACAAGGGCACAATGAAGCACAAATGGGTACATATCTATAGACAAATTCTAGAGAGAAGGAACGTAGTGACTATGTGGTCAGAAGTAGAGTTGATGGGATGGAGAGATAGAAAAGATAGTGTCTAGAGTGAGAAAGCTTTTTAGATACTCTCATAGAAAAAGAGCTGTGAGAGCAATAGACTTAGTGAAAAGGCCAATGAAAGGGAAAAGAAGTCACATTTGAAATGAAAATGACCAGGAGATACATAGAAGTACATAACCATAGGTGCACATGTAAGAGAGTAATCCATACTGGTAAACTTTAGGACCCATAGAGGACAGTGTGAATGATGTCCAGGGAGGAACTCACAAAGATAGCTCCAGACTGAAAGTGGTGCATAGGTACTTAGATACAAAGATTCCATAGGCGGAGACAGCTGTGTGTGTGTGGGGGGGGGGGCATCTAGAGAGTAGCCCCTTCTCCCCAGGGGAATTACATATCAGAACAGGTGGGTGTTTTAACACTTGATACTCACCTTCTGTTGGGTCATGCCTGGGAGGCCTTATATGGAGCACCTCTCCAGGCTGGTTGTGGTGGGAGGTGGACTACACATCTAGAGAGAGGGCCAGGCATGCCTACAATGCTGACAAAAGAGGGGAGAGAACAAGGAAGACCCTTAGCGACTTAGCCAGGGTCTGGACTGGGAAGACAGGGGCCAGGCTGTACTTTGCTTGTCCATAACCTGTTTGGTGCCTCTGCTGGGCCCTTTCTTGAACAGGCTGGCCCCAGTTCCTAAGAGTACTTTGTGCCCTGAGTATTCTGCTTCTATCTTGCAGGCCTTCCCAATGTGGGGAAGAGCAGTCTGATCAATAGCCTGAAGCGCAGCCGTGCATGTAGTGTGGGAGCTGTTCCTGGTGTCACAAAGTAAGATCTGCCCACTTCTCCACTTCCATAATCCTTGACATAACTATTCTGCCATAGCTCCCATGCTTCATCCCTTGCCCCTTTCCTAATAGTGGACCATCCGTGGACTCTGGGTTTAGGAATCCCACTGATAGCCTTCATTTACCTGGCCCATCCTAAATGTGGCCTTGGTGCCCTGCTGGCGCCTTTGTTACAACTGCAAATACCTCTCTTGCTTAGATGAAGCAGCTAAGACCCAGCGAGTCAGAAACTTGCCCAAGATCCCACAGCTAAGTTCCCAGTGAAAAGAGATTACATTTTAGAATCAGTCCTAGTTCTGTAGCACCTCAGATCCCCCTGGTCCTACATCTTCTACATCTTCCCTCTTTACCTAAGGTACACCCTTCACTTGTCTTCTTTTCCCTCCCTCCAACCTCCCCAGGCCTGACATCAGGTACGTTTGGGCCTTGTTTTTCTTTCTCCAGATTCATGCAGGAGGTCCACTTAGACAAGTTCATCAGGCTGCTGGATGCTCCAGGCATTGTCCCAGGGCCCAATTCAGAGGTGGGCACCATCCTCCGTAATTGCATCCAGGTGCAGCAACTGGCAGACCCTGTGACCCCGGTGGAGACCATTCTTCAGCGCTGCAACCTGGAAGAGGTATAGAGCAGGGCCCCGAGTGATGCCCTATCCTGCCACTTCAAGGGTCCTTCACTCCTTCTCATGACCTTTCTCCTTCATTTTGCTAGATTTCCAACTATTATGGTATTTCTGGATTCCAGACCACTGAGCACTTTTTGACTGCAGTGGCCCATCGCTTGGGAAAGAAGAAAAAGGGAGGTGTATATAGTAAAGAGCAGGCTGCCAAAGCAGTGCTGGCCGACTGGGTGAGGTGAGGAAGGGCTTGTATAGGCGGTGGTTTCCATTGATGCCAGTGGGACGGCCTGACTTCCTGGCTGTCAAAATAGAGGACAGCCAAAGAACTAGTTATGTCTTGCTTGGTACTCTGTGCCTAGTTGTTATTGAGCAGTTCAACACATTGTTCAGAAGTTATTGTCTGGACTTTCCTGTCCTGTGTCCTCTTTTGACAGGTTATTTATTCTCAGTGACACCACCACTGACCTTTCCTTATCTCCCAATACAGTGGGAAAATCAGCTTCTATACACCACCACCACCTACTCACACTCTGCCTTCCCATCTCAGTGCTGAGATTGTTAAGGAGATGACTGAGGTCTTTGATATCGAAGATACTGAGCATGCCAATGAAGATACCATGGAATGTAAGTGTGGATGGGTGGGCCACCTGATTGTCCTAATAGAGCCCCGACCTGATGTCAGACAACACAGTTGATTTCCCTTCCCTGGGGCTTTGTATTAAATTTTATTCATTGTCCTGCAAGGTAGAATTTCTAGTTTAAGACATGAGGTAGGGGTAGTGGTGGTGGTAGTGAACTTTTGTTAGATTGGCTGACAACTGGTACTCTTTCAGGTTCTCTGAAAGTGAGGCTCCATTTCTTTTGGGTTGAAACATCCCTTTAAAGAGTCCTTTCTTGTGTGTGTGTGTGGGGTGGGGGAGCGGGATGGGTGAGACAGGGTCTCGCTATAGCCATTGGCTGGCCTGTAACATATTATGTATACCCTGCTGGTCATGAGCTCAGACATAGGACTACCTTTGTCTCCTGAGTGCTGGGATTAAAGGCTCAAAAATGGCTGTGTATGTTTGCGTGCACCTCTAATCCTAGCCAGACAACCAAATCAAATGATCAAATGGTCCATCTCTGTATATTTCTCCTTCCTATTGCTGTAGGCTTAAAAAATGTTGATGAAACCCAGGGCCTTGTGCTGGTTAGACTAGCACTCCACCACTGAACTGTACCTACCGTTGCTCCACGTTTTTAGATAGCATTTTACTGTGTAGCTTTGACAGACCTGGTACTCACTGTATAGTCCAGGCTGGCTTTGAACTTTCGGTAATTCTGTCCTATTAGGCTCCTGAGTACTGGTATATTTTACCATAGCTGGCTGCCCTAGGTCTTCTCAGCATTCTTAGATTTTCTTTCTTACCTCCATTGGCTAGTAAGATATTCAAGTGAGAAAACATTTATTAGGTGTGGTAGAACGTGTCTTTAATCCCAGTACCCAAGAGGCAGTAGCAGGCAATATCTATGAGTTCTAAGACAGCCAGGGAGCTAAAGCCAAGCCAGTGAGACCCTGTGTCAAAAAGAGTCATCAGAAGGGCACATAGACAGTGGTAGGTTGTAGTATTATTGGCACCAGCTCTCCTGTCCTGTTGCCTTAAATCCCTCAGCTCAGAGTAGTGGGGTCGTTTTAAGTGTGGACTGCCTACATTTAAATAAATCTATATTTTGTTCCTCATTAGCTATATGATACTGAACAAGTCTGTTTACTCTGTCTCTGAGATACCATTTGTAAAATAAGAGCACTAGCACCCATTCCATAAACATGTTCTGTGGGTTTACTTAATTTGCAAAAGAGGGCCAGGGGTATAGCTCAGTGGTACAGCTCATGCTTAACATTCACAAAGCCCTCGTTTGACTCTCAGCACCAAAAATAAATAAATAAATAAATAGATAGATAGATAGATAAATAAATAAATAAATAAATAAATAAATAAATAAATAAATGAAATAAAAAGAAACAAAGAGAGAAACAAAGAAGAGTAAAAGGTATAGAACAGTAGAGCCTGGTGTATAGTTAATCAGTGTTCTGCAGATGCTATCTGGAATATATGGAGGTGTGACTTTCCAAAACTAGGGAGTAGGTTCTTGCTCTTAAACACTATTACTTGTAGCCCTGGCCTGTGGTTCCTACTTCATTCTCTGCTCTGCCCAAGGCTCTCTGGTCATATACAGTTGAGAAAACCCTGTCTTTATTTATTTATTTATCTATTTATTTATTCATTTATTTATTCATTCATTCATTCATTCATTCATTCATTCATTCACTTATTTATTTATTAATTTATCTATTTATTTATTTATTTATTTTGAGAAAGCCCTGTTTGACCTGAAGTTTTATTTCTGTTTCTCCTGAGGGCCAGTCATTTTCTTTTCTGGGTCCTCTCAAGTCCCGGATTACAAATGAGGACAAAAAGACTTGCCTGTTTTCTAGTTTATTCCATGTGTGGCTTCTAGTTTATTCCAAGTTGGCCCTCTTGCTGAATTTTAATTTCTGATTCTGTCAAGGGGGCAGTTAAGAGGGATTTCAGATCGTGTTCTAATAGTGATACTTGACCCTGGATTTTTAAGGGCAAGACAGGTGTTCTCACTATAAGGAGTTAGGGCAAGGATAGGGAAGAGTTTAGGGGTAGAAAGCATTTGGAGAGGAGTTGGTCCTAGTGTGCGATCTTTAAGAGTGAGTAGGATTTAAGCCATTCAATGAAGTAGATGGGATAAAGTTGATAGAAGTAAGATATGAGGGTAGTGTGGCACAAAGCAATAGGAATGTCTGGGGGTCACAGTGGAGGCCAATTCTAGGTAATGGGCAAGAGGGAAAGGAAGAGAGGCCTGGTTCTAAGGAAGGAATCCTCATGGCTGCCTTCATCACAGTTGAGCCAGAGTATATTGTAGGTACCCTCTGCACAGTTTTACCTTAATCATATGAGTAAGTGGTGTGGAATATCCATTTCTTACATGAAAAAGCTGAAGATTAACTCCCAGCAGGCAACTGTCCTATGATATCATGCATTTGTTTTGTTTTTTTATTTTGAGACACTGTCTCTCCATATAGCCCAGGCTGGCCTTGAACTCATGATCCTCCTGTTTTAACCCCCTGAGTGCTGGGATTACGGGTATGCACTACCTGGATTATTAGTCTTGCATTTAAATCTTTGTTACGTAGCCTTGTACCAGAAACAGCCTCACCCACCCCTCACTCCCCAGCTGCCACCCTCATGTCCTTTCTGCTGTGACCTGCTAGCAGTAAAGGGGAGGCAGGATCCTAACAGTGGTGTTTGTGTTAAAGGCTTGGCCGTGGGAGAATCCGATGAGCTGTTGGGAGACACGGACCCACAAGAAATGGAGGTTAAGTGGCTTCATTCTCCACTGGTGAAAATAGCAGATGCCATTGAAAATAAAACCACTGTATATAAGGTACCTCTCTACACCTTCATGGCAGATTTCTCCTACACAGGGTTCTGGGAAGCAGTCAGTTTCTTCTATATATCTCCCCTGGCGTAGTGAGGTATGAGTGGCATATACTTCCTCTGGACTTGTGGATGCTTGACCTGGTATGTTCTTTGCCAGATAGTGACATATCTAAAGAGCTCTTTCAAGCAGCTTTCTTTCCCAGTCCTGGTTCCATCGTAGTCACCCAGCAGTCAAAAAGCAGATGACTCTCTTTCCTTTCAATAGTATCTAGGATCCCATATGCTGTTAGTCACCAAATCTGGTGGCTATTCCTTACCACATTTCTTTTCTTTCTTTCTTTCCTTTTTTTTTTTTTTTTTTTTTTTGAGACAGGGTTTCTGTGTAGTGAGTTCTGTCCTGGAACTCACACTGTATGCCAGATTAGCTAGCCTTGAACTCAGAGATTTGCCTACCTCTACTTCCTGAGTTTTGGGATTAAAGACATGCCCCTCTTAACCATATTTCTTGGGGTTGTACAAGGTCTATATGTACAGGGTCTCATGTATCCAAGGCTGGCTTTGAATATGTGATCTCCCTACCTCCCAACTCCCCAGTGCTGAGATTACAGGTATGCATCATCGTGCCTGGTTACTCGATTGTTCCAGTCCAACCCTGTCACTTTCCATGGATGGTTATACAATATCTTTACACCATCACATGACTTTTTGTTTATTTTATTTTCAATACAGGGTTTCTCTGTGATGCCCTAGCTATCCTGGAGCTCAATATGTAGACGAGGCTGGCCTTGAATTCACAGAGGCCCACCTGCTTCTGCCTCTCAAGTATTGAGACTAAAGGTGTATGCCACCTCTGCCCAACAACTCTGGTTTTTTTCCAGTGTCTTTTTCTTCAGTCACCTGTCTCTGTTCCTCGTAAATTTTTGTTTCAGACACATAGAAGGAGTGATTAGGGGTGGGTGATAATATGAGAACGTCCTATGTCTAAGTGCCCTAAACTATGCTATTTGTTAGTTGGTTAGGGAACCCCTATGCTGTATTTTGAAGGCTGAGTTCCCTAGCTTAGTCCATGCTCATAACAAGGCTCAAAGAGTATGGTGTTTGGAGGAAATTGCTGGTGCCACTAGGTAACTGGAGTAGAGTTTGAAAAAGATGAATCTGGAGTTTGATCACAGAACACCTTAATTTTGACTTGTGACCCCTAAGGCAACAGGAAATCATTGATGGTTGGCTATTTTCATTTTGGGGTCAAATTTCCTCTCCAGTTTTTCTTGTTGAAATAAAAAAAAAATGTTTACCTAATTAGGTAATAGGTAAAATTAGAAAGGAATGAAGACTGCTCAATGAAAAGTAAGTGTTTTATTTCTGTCTCCCAGCCATGCTGGGAGATACTCACTATTATCAGATTTTTGGATGTCCTTTCAGAACTATCCTGTATTTTACTTATAAATTAGTTTGAGATAACTTTTTGATTTTGGTTTTTTGAGACAGAGTTTCTCTGTGTAGCTCTGGCTGACCTGGAATTCACTGTGTAGACCAGGTTGGCCTTGCACTCACAGAGATCCACCTCTCTGCTGGGATTACTGGCATGTGCAACTATGCCTGGCTGAGATGAATTTTTTTGTCAGTGCTGGGGATTGAACCAAGGATCTCATATATAGTGGGCAAGCCCTTTGTCACTGAGCCACATCCAGCCCCAAGTAACTATTTTAATTAAAATAGAGGCTACTTTTTCTTTTGTTCTGTACTTTCTTTATTTCATTTACAAATTTGTTTGGAGATTGTGTCACATGATTACTTTAAGAGCTATCCTTTATTTTTCATAGTGATGTAATATCTGGAAGGATATGACATGTCTTGATATTACATAACAAACATGTCTTGTTGCTATGCTAGTGAATAAAAATAGTCATTCAGAAAGAAAGGGATTCAGGTTGTGCAGGAAAGAAATTCACCTCTAATCAATATGTTGTAGAAGGAAAGGTCTGAACTTGTGCAGTGGGAGGAATCACACTATTCCCATATTCACCTAGTGCTAGAAGTTTCCTTTTGCCTAAAGGAAACAACAACAACAACAAAACAAAACTATAAACTTGTCTGTTTAAGGCTACCTTCCCAAATCAAAGTTTTCCCTGAGGCTTATGCCCCTGGACATAGTATATTTCTCAGGAACTGACAGTAGTTTCCCATTTTTGTGCTACAAATTCCAGAATCTATCCAGGGCCCTGAGCAGGCCACCCTATTGCTCAGGTCTTAAGAAATACTGTATGGCCATACTGTAGCGTTGCTCAAACCCACCCTATCTTCCCTTTTCCCTAATATAGTGGGTAGTTATAGTCATGAGCTATTGTGCCAGGCTCTTGGGGTCTTAATTTACACTGCTGTTTGTTTGTTAGCTCTGTGACTTCAGGTGTATTCTTGCAAGAATTAAATCACTTAATATACACAAAAGGAGTTCATAGAGCCACATGGTGCTGCTTAACAGCAAGGCTATGTTCTAAGATGTACAATGATTTAGGGTTTTTGAGACAGTCTTATGGAGCTTAGCTAGCTTCAAACTCAAATGTCGCTGAGATTAGTTTTGACCTTCTGTTCTCTCTGTCTCTACTGCCTGAATGCTGAGATCATGAATATGCTGCCATGCCTACCTTAACAGGATCTTCATTGTGTACATATCCTAGAGTGGGCTTATATAAACTAAGATGTTTATGGCAGGCCATTGTCACATAGGTAAATACTTGCTTTTACTACTCACGTGTACCCACCACACAGATAACTTTTGTAGAACTCCATGGGTAGACAACATGCTTTGGGTTAGGTTTAACCTGGTTACTCACTGAAAATGGAAGTAAGTATGACAGTTTTTTGTTCCCAGGATTGTCCCACATAGCTGGGCCCAAAGTAGGTGTTAAGAGTAGCATGGTGGAGATGAGGGAGGGAGGGAGGGACTGGGAGGGAATGAGGGATCGGGACACGGCTGGGATACAGAGTTAATAAAATGTAACTGATAAGAAAAAAATAAAATTCAAAAAAAAAAAGAGTAGTAGGTGAGTAAAGCCTCTAAGGGTTACTTCAACAAAGAATCATTATAATATCAATTGTCACTAATCAAATAAATACTTTTTTTGAGATAGTCTTACTCTGTAACCCAAAATAACCTAGAACTCAACCATTAGTCCAGGCTCACCTTATGGTTCATCCTCTTGACTGCTAAGATGAGCTACCACTACCTCCTTTCCTTTTTCAAAATTTTTTTGTAAAAGTCTTGTAGCCAGGTGGTGGTGGTGGCAGTGGCACATATCTTTAATTCTAGCACTCAGGGATGCAGAAGCAGGTGGATCTCTGAGTTTGAGGCCAGCCTGGTCTACAGTGTTAGTTCCGGGACAGCCAAAGCAACATAGAGAAACCCTGTCTCGAAACAAAACAAAACAAAAAGCTTTACATTATTTGATGGATGAACAAACTGAGGCTCATAGGCTCACTAAATACCAGTTAGGATTTAGTGGAGCTATAACTGGCTCCAGATTTTTTTCTGACTCAGGCCTATACTTGGCTTCTCTGTAGGCGCGTTTGGAGATTAAGACCCCACTATTATTCTTTTTCTCCCCAGATTGGAAATCTCACTGGGTATTGTACCAATCCAAACCGTCAACAGATGGGGTGGGCTAAACGAAATGTGGACCAGCATTGCCCTCCAAACACCCGTACAGTGGATGTCAGTTCGGTGGACCGCCGCCCAATGTTGCAGAGGATTCTGGAGACAGACCCACTTCAACAAGGCCAGGCTTTGGCATCTGCCTTGAAGAATAAGAAAAAATTGCAGAAACGTACAGGTAGCGGTACCTGACCTTTCCTGTGCTCTGAAAAAAATTCCTGATTGGGGCCAAGATTAGGGTCTTTTGAATAAGCATTTTCACATGTGTCTACCTCCATGGAAGGGAAAAACGGGCTTGGGAAGCTCATGGACAAGCAAGTGGGTCTCAAAATTTTAGCTTACACTAGTATCAATCGAAGGTTTGTTAAAGCAGACTTCTGGAGGCCATACTATAGAACCACTGATCTCATCTGTGTATCGTGTCCCACATTTCTTGGGTGCTTTTTGTCTGTTAGGTAGAATGCGTACTATCATTTGTACTCTATCAATATGCAGTGCATCCAAAAACCCCAGAAGATACATAGTAAAATCTCTTAAGGCTTCTTACGATAGGCAGCTGTAGAATGATTATTATTAATTAATATTGATTCAATTATTAATAATGTAGTGATTATTCTTTAGCCAGCTGTTTACTTAAATAACCACATAGAGAGACTAGGATTTATTTTTTTAGCCAAGAGCACAATACTGAGCCAACAGACAGCTGGTTAAGACAAATATATCGAGACATCTATCTTCTTAAGACAGAAGTCACACAGTCTGTATCCTCTTTCCACACTAATGCTTGTTACTGAGCCTACAGTTTTTGCCTTATAATTTTTTTCATTCTGTGTTTTAGGAATATTTCCATATCAGTACACAAAATAATTTCTTCTCTTTGTGTTAGTGGTGGGCTTTTGTGTAGTTGACCCATTCAGGTTTTCAGGATATATATAGTTGGCCCTCCATATCTGTAGCAATTGTACTGCAGATTCAGTTAAGTGGAAATAAAAACAAAAATATTTGAAAGAAATTTTATCTCTAGGGGCTAGAAAGATGACTCAGTTTCTAAGAGCATTTGTTGCTCTTGCAGAGGACCCAGATTTGGTTTCTTGCACTCACATAATGACTCACAACTGTCTTGTAACTCCAGCTTCAGGGCATCCAACTCATCTTCTGACCTCTGTAGACACTTAGCATGATGTGGTACACATACATAGTCTCAGGCACACATACACACACATAAAATATTTTCTGAGATATGGTCTCACCATGTAGCTCTTGCTGGCCTGGAACTCACCCTGTAGACCAGGCTGGCCTTGAATTAACAGAGATCTGCCTGTCTCTGCCTACTGAGTGCTGAGATTAAAGGCTTGTGCCACTATGCCTGGCAAAATACAATTTTAAAGTTCAAATAGATGCAGGCTATGTTTCTTGTCACTATTTCTTTTTTTAATTTATTTATTTTTATTTTATGTTCATTGGTATTTTCTTTGCATGTATGTCTGTACGAAGGTGTTGGATTTCTTGCAACTGGAGTTACAGCCAGTAATTACCATATGGGTGTTGGGAATTAAACCCAGGTCCTCTGGAAGAACAGCCAGTGCTCTTAACCACTGAGCGATCTCTCCAGCCCATCATTGTTTCTTGAATGACACAGTATAGTAGTTGGTTCATAGTGTTTGCATCGTACTGATATGCAGGAGGATATGTGTAGTTATATGAAGATACTACAGTGTTTGTAGTAAGGCTGTGGCTTTCTTATCCCCCCATGGATAATGAGGAGTGAAAAACCACTTATTCAGAGTGGTAATAAAGGTAAGTACATTCACTCCTCAGTATCCATGGTTACAAAATAAAAATGTAGGTAGGTTTGATTGACTCTGATGTTTGTTCTTTTTAACTAGGCCTTATTTTATAGCCATCTGGTCCCAGCTTTATACCAAGTCCTGGGAATCCAGGGGTGAATTTCCTTTAAAATTCAAGTCTTAGAATCCAGGGGTGAATTGCCCTTAAACTTCAAGTGTTAGGGAGTAGAGAGGAGACAAAGCAGACACTGACAGTGTAGAATGCTAACTGAGGGTTCATACAGCAAGCACTTCGAGGGAACTTAGCCCAGCTTGGAGATAGGGGTAGTCAATAGAGTGTTCCTGAAGAAGTCTCTGGAAATCCTGAGGAACAAGTGCATCTGGAGAATGAGCTCTGTGAGTGGCAGGCATTCAGGTTCAAAGCTAGTACTGGTGTGCACCCCTTTGCTGTGAGCGCTTGTTTGGAGGTGGGTAGGGGTAATGGAGGAGTGCTCAGTTCATAGAGTAGAAGGAAGTTACTATTTTGGTACTTAGAGGATATAAAAATACTTGGAATCCTGTGAATGTGAAAACGTGAGATAGAAGCTATGCTGGGTTAATCACTTACAGGTGAAGGGCTCTCCCTGTGACAGTTGAGAGTTCTGTGGCTCATCCATTTTGTTGAATTATTAGATGGGTAACTGACCAAGTTGGGAGATTGGTATAGGCCAAGCTAGTGATAAGCTAGTTGTGGCAAGCCTTTTGTTGGCCAAGCCAGCTACCCGAAGATTGCCTGTGTTTCTGTACCTATAGATAAAATTGCAAGTAAGTTGTCTGATTCCATGATGTCTATGCTGGACCTCTCTGGCAACCCCGACGACCATGCTGGTGACTGATCGGCTGACCTTCCCCTCATACTGCAAACACTGCTTCCTGTGGGATAAGAGAATACAGATGGCGGTTCTGTTCTCCCTGATGTATCTACATAGTGGACAACACCTCCTGTACAATGTATCTTCTGCCACAGTGCCCTCCACTCTCATCAGTTATGAGCCTCAAAGTAACTGGAGTTGCCAAACCCCAATATCCTTTACTTAATTCTTTGAAAAAAAAAAAGTCTTTGAAAATGACTTTTTGCTTGTTTTTGTGGTGCCAGGGATTGAACCTAATAGGTCCTCATACATGTTAGACAAGCATTCTATTACTGAGCTGTATTATTAGCATCATCATCATCCATTATTTTCATCGGAGAAAGATTCTGCTTACTCAGCTTCCCAGGTACTGGGATTACAGGCTTTGCCACCACTCCCAGCTCCCACTGTGTTTTACAAGGTAAATAAAATATCAACAGAGTCTTGGCATGGTGGCAACATACCTGTAATCCTGACACTTAGAAGACTGAAGCTAGGAGGACTGTAGGTTATAGGCCAGCCTGAACTTACCTGGCAAGACCCTTTCAATAAAACCAACAACCCAGAACAAATATGCAGAGTCTAGGCTTTGGTGGCACATGCCTTTAATCCTAACACTCTGAGAGGCAGAGGCAGACGGAACTGTGTGATTTTGAGGACAATCTGGTCTACAAATCGAGTCCAGGACAGCCAAGCTAGCTACACAGGGAATCCCTGTTTTGATAAAAACAAAACAAAACAAAAAAAATCAAAACAAAACAAAACAAAATAACCACACAAACAAGCAGAGGCCAAGTGCTGACAATGTAGCGTGTACTCTCAATACCTGTGTCCTCACCTTGTTGGTTAGGCTAATAAAGGTTGACCTCTTGGACAAGTGAATGTTCTAAAGGTTAGACTGCTGAGAAACCTGCTTGCGGTAGTAGTGGGTGTTATGGGTGATCTTTTTTGTTTTTATCACCCTACAAGATTTCATTGCCAAGGTAAGGCTCTTGCTTATTCATTTTCAAAATCTATAGGTAGGCCCTCTTCTCAGTAGTGTAGGAGTAGAGAAGGAAAGTGATGTTTCTCGTCTCTAGAAGTGTCTTGGAATAGGGTAGAGGGATGAAGATTTTAGATGGGGTATACCTATCATAGTAAGTTGGAAAGGCATTGGCTGCAAGGTGTTTAGGAAATGTAGACCATACCTGTTTTTTTCTGGACAGTTAAGTACTCGTTGAGCACAAACTACCAAACTCAGAATCAGTTACCTCCTTTAACTTCAGTATATCCCTACCAGGCAGGGGTAAGGCTCATAAAGCTGATAGAACATGCTTCTGATGGCATTAAATAGCAGAATGCTAGATTTAAAAGTTGAGTGTAATTAAAATCTTATGTTAGCCATTTGTTTTGTATTGTATTGCCTTCTTGAGAGAGGAACACTACTCTGTGGTGTGTTACACTTTTAAAATACATTTTCTCTACTCTGGTTTTAAACACTGGTAGCATTTTATAAAAACTAGGCTTCCCAAGTCTTTAAGTGGTGTCCAGCTTAATTCACTGATCTCATCTAAGTTTTGGTAGATAATTATTAGAAACAAAAGCAACTAGATCCTTGAGAACATAATCTAGCTAAAGTAAAATAGAACTAAAACAATCATGTAAGGATAAGAATTTAGGACTCTGATCAGGTGGGCAGCTCACACAGGTATCTCAATGTTCAGGATGTTGAAGCAGAAAGCTGCCTGTGAATCTGAGTCCAGCTTGGGCTGCAGAGTAAGAGGCTCAAAGCAAAACAAAATAATGTGGGACTCCAGATGTACTAACTCTAAAGTATCTCAAGGTGGGAGTAGGTCATGGGTATGCACAAAGGGTCTGCCTGTGTAACCCATGGTGATCTTGAACTCTGAGCCTCCTGCTCAGCTTCCCAAGTGCTGGGATTATATGTGTTTACCACCATGCCTGGCTATTTCTTACGTCTTAAAAGAATTTCTTGGATCTTTATTCTCCTCTTAAAAAATAATTTTTATACAATAAATCTCATCCTTTATAATTTTAAGTTCTGCAAGTTTGAACACCTGTCAACAGGGGTAGCCTGTCACGATAATCGAGATACAGAAATTTTGTGGCATTCTCCCCAAGCTTACTGTATCTCCTTGTAGTATAATCCTGTCCCATCCTCAGATTCTGCCAAGCACCAGTGTCTTTCTGGTTCCTTATGATGAATGTCATAAGACACACAGGGGCATTAAGCTTTTAGGTTTTTACTTTAAAACTTCACATTTCAGTAAAATACAGGTGTATAAACTCTGATAACTGGATAAAGAAGAACAAAAGAATTCCATTACCCTCCCCTCCATCATTTTCTGTTATTTTATAGTCAAAATTAATTCTCTATCCCTGACCCATGGCAATTCCAGACTTGTGCTTTTACTCTCTGGCTTGTCTTTTGAAAAGAGTTGTAAGTAGAATTTAACAGTGTGTAACTTTTAAGATTAACTTGCTATGAGTTATATATTTGAGATCTATATCATTGGGTGTATCAATAGTTCTGATTTCTGTCTCATGTTCCATTGTATGGATATCTTTCTGCTTACTCAGTCCCAAGTTGGAGGACATTCTTTACAGTTGAGGAAATTATGAATAAAGCTGCTATAAAACCTTGTATGAGACTGTTTTCATTTCATTGGCATTACTATCTAGAGTTGGATTACCAGAATATATGGTAAGCATGTGATTGACATTCTAAGAAACTGCTAAACTTCTTTGTTCATTTAGTGTACATAAAAAAAAAAAAAACCCTTTACTATTTTGACTGCATGTCTGTGTACCATGTGCATGGCTTGGTACCCACAGAGGCTAGATTCTTTGGAACTGAAATTATAGATGGTTGTGTGCTACTGTGTGGGTTTTGGGAACTGAACCTGCGTCCTCTGCAAAAGCAGCTAGTGCTCCTGATGTAGACCTTAACTTTTTAAATTCGTGTGCGAAAACATTGGTTTTAATTTTGACATGTTATACACTTGCACACACACATACGTATATATACGCATACGCATTAGCCATCTGTTTATGGACACCTGGGATGTTCCCTTAGCTTGTCTGTTGTAAACAGTATAGCAGTAAATATGAATGTGCAGCTGCCCCTTTGCTACGCTGACTTGAATTCCTTCCCAGGAGTTAGTGTAGCCATTTTGTATGACAGTTGTACTTTTTAAAGGCTTATTATTTATGTGTTTGAGAGTGAGACCACATGTGTGGGGGTGCCTAAAGAAACCAGAAAGCATAAAATTCCTTGGAGCTGGAGTTAATAGGTTGAGATATCTGTACTGGGAACCAAACTCTGGTCCTCTGGACTAGTCCCAGTAATTGAACTTTTAACTTTTTTGAAGAATCTCCATACTGCTTTCCATAGGGGCCACACCAGTTTCTATTTCCTCACATCCTCACCAGCATGTTTGTTTTCTTGATGACGGCCATTCTGACTGGGGTAAGATGGATTCTTAAAGCAGTTTTAAGGGACATTTCCCCTGTTGGCTAAGGATCATGAATCTTTAAAAAAAAAGATTGGTCATTTCTGTTATTTAAAAAGTATTTTCTTTAACTGAGAATTTCATACATGCACTGTTAGATGTATACTTGGCAAAGATATTCATTCTGTGGACTGTCTCTGCTGATGTTTTCCTTCAGTGTGCAGAAACCTTTTAATTTTGTGCAATCCCATCTGTCAGTCTTGGTGGTTGCAGGGGGTTATCTCCTGTTCTCTAGGCTTTCCAAAAAGTTCTTGTCTATGCCAGTACCTTAAGTGTTCCCCTACCCTCACTTCTCTAGCAGTTTCAGTTTCAAGTCTGACATTAAAGCCTCTGATCCATTTTAAATTGATTTTTGTTCAGGGTGAGAGAGATGGATCTTGTTTCATTCTTCTACAGGCTATCATCAGTACCATATTTTTGAAAAGCTGTCTTTTCTCCAGTGTATATTTTGACAGCTGCCAAAGATTAGTTAACTGTAGCTATATGGGTTTGTTTCTGGATACTCTGTTCTATTCCATTTGTCTGTGTGTCTTTGCTAAACCATTTCCAGCATGGCACCAACAGTCCCATCAGGACATGAAAGATTCAGTTCTGCATCCTCTAGCACTTGGCTGGTCCCTACCAGCTATGGATAGGAGCAGACTTTACATGTGATAGGCAAATGCTTTGCCTCTTGAGCTGGTTCTCTTGTTGGTGTCCTCATAGGTATGCAGTAGTATCTTGATTATGGTTTTGATTTCTATTTTCTAACAACTAAAGATTTGATCCTATTTTAATGCATTCACTTGCCATCCATATATCCTCTTTGTCAAAGTGTTTAAATCGGTTGTTTGATCATTTATTTGCAATGCTGTGTGAGTATCACACTAGGGTGTTCTTGCATGCTATACAAGTGCTCTACCATTAGCCACACCCCAAACCTCCCCTTCACATCTTGTATTTGTTTTATTATTGGGAGAGTTTATGCTGGATACAAGTTATCAGATGCATGCTTTGCAAAGAAAAAAAAATTCAGTTTGTGGCTTAGCTTTTCATTCTTTATTAACAGTTTTTTTGTTTTGTTTTGTTTTGAGAAACGGTTTCTTTGTGTAACATTTGTGCCTATGTGACTTTCGTGTTTTACTTTATTTAGCATAGTGTCTCTAAGGTTTATCCATATTGTGTGCAAATTTCTTTAAAAATTTTTTTTGAGACAAGATCTCCCTGTGTAGCCTTGGCTATCCTGGAACTCAGGCCAGTCTAGCTTCAAATTCATAGTGATCTATCTACCTTTGCTTCCCAAGTGCTAGGATTAAAGGCATGCATCTGCTACCATACCAATCCTGTAATTTCCTTTTTAAGGTGCTGTGTGTTTTTCAGCATTTGAAGTATAATAGATAAAAATCATAATCTTAGCACTCAGGAGACAGAGGCAGGTGGATCTCTGAGTTCTAGGCCACATTACAGAGCAAGTTCCAGGACAGCAAGGGCTACACAAAAAGACACTCGAAAAGCCAAAACCAAACCAATCCAAACAGGTTATTTAACATGCTTTTTTTGTTTTGTTTTTTGTTTTACTTTTCTTGAAACAGGCTGTCATGTAACCCAGGTTGACCTTGAACTTATCTTATTCCACCCAAGTAGGATTAAGCTGTATTTTTAATTTTGGAGTAACTATCATACTGTTTCTGTAATGGCTTTACTAACTTATATTTTCACCAATAGTGTGTAAGAGATCCTCTCAGGCTGGAAAAATGGTTCAGGAGAGGTCCTGCTCTTCTAAAAGGACTGTGTTTTATTTCTCAAACCCCCTATGGGAAACAACCACTCCTGCTCCAAGGGATCTGCTGCTCTCTTCTGGCCTCTTTGGGTACCTTCATTCATGTGTGCACAGAGTTCCTCAACCACAAAATTTAAAAATAAAAATAAATCTGAGTGAGGTAACCTCAGACCGAGAAAGATAAATATTGCATGTTTTCTTTCTTATTTGTATCTCCTTGATCTCCTTCAGATGTCTTAATTCTCCTCTAGCTAAGTCTTCAAGTACCATATTGAATAGGTATAGAGAGAGTGGACAATTTTGTTCCTTATTTTAGTGGAAATGCTTCAAGTTTCTCTTTGTTTATCATGACATTTGCTGTGTAGCTAGGACTTTTTCCCACTGAACCATCTCACAGGCCAATGCTTGACCCCTCCCCAGTTTCTACTGATTGCTTTTTTTTCCTGCTTATGAATTTTTCTTTTCTTTTCTCTCTTTCTCTTTCTTTCTCTCTTTCTCTCTTCCTCCCTCCCTCCCTCCCTCCCTTCCTTCCTTCCTTCCTTCCTTCCTTCCTTCCTTCCTTCCTTCCTTCCTTCCTTTCTTCCTTCCTTTCTTTTTTGAGACAGGGTTTCTTTGTGTAGTAATGGCTGTCCTAGACTCGCTTTGTAGACCAGGCTGGCCTCAAACTCACAGATAACTGCCTGCCTCTGCCTCCCAACTGCTAGGGTTAAAGCTATGCACAACCACCACCTGCCTCATAGTTTACTTACTTTAGGCCTTATAATTTTGTGTTGAAAAGTGCAAATTTAAAAATATACAATATACTGGGCATGGTGGTATATGCTTTTAATCCCAGCACTCAGAAAGCAGAAGCAGGCTGTTTCTGTGAGAAGCCAGCCTTGTCTACATAGCAAGTTCTAGGATAGCCCTGGCTACATAGTTAGACCATTTCTTTTTTTTTTCTTTTTTACAAAATATATAATAGTTCTGATAATCTGATTTTTTCTGCTATATTATTGTTGTTTTCTTTTTAAAAAAGATTTATTTATTTTCTGTATATGACTGCTTTATCTGCATGTACACCTGCATGTTAGAAGAAGGCATCAGATCTCACTATTGATGGTTGTGAGCCGACATGTTGTTGCAAATTGAACTCAGGACTCCTGGAAGAGCAGCCAGTGTTAACCACTGAACCATCTCTCCAGCCTCCTGTTGTTTTGTTTAATGCCTTTAATGAGCTATTATTTTTTGTGGGGGTGTCAGAGACAGGGTCTCTCTGTGTAGCCCTGCTGTCCTGGAACTCACTCGGAAGTCCAGGATGGTCCTGAACTCAGAGATCCTCCAGCCTCTTTCTCCGAAGTGCTGGAATTACAAGAATGTGCCACCACTACCACCTGGCTTTTGAACTCATTTTGTAAACTATTCATTATTTGTCATATGTAGCTATTGAAGTTTCTCCTTGGTGAATAAAGTGGTCAGCTGATGGCTACCCACAGGTTTCTTTCAACGTCTAGAACCAGTGATTGTCATTTCTAAGGTGCACCTATATTGTGTTGGGGCATACCTTTCCCCTTGTAATACACAGCTCTGCTTCAGGTTATACTTCCTTTTATCTAGTCAGTGATGAGGGTTTTCTAGTGACCTCATTGTTTTCATCAGTGTGCACATCCCTAAGTGTGAACACAGCCCTATGAAGCATGGAACATTCTGATTGCTAGAAATATGCTGGGGTTGTTGACAATTCTATGGACATCTAATTTCTCAGCATTTTCACCTACAGTTTGAAATCTGCTTACTTGCTTCCTTAAAATCTTACCGGGAATCTCAGGTTTGGGTAGAAATAATACTAAACAAATGTATTCATTTTAGATAGTTGCCTTTTTAAGACCCAAGGTCAAAGCCATCTTCTGCACACGGACACAGCCTCAGCTGTTTGGTTTGTCGGTCAGTCCTTGCAAAGCCTTCATGTCCACCAGCTTGCCTCCTTCAGTGGGGTTTAGTCTACGAAGATGGTGGATTGTGAGCAACTGGTGCTGAAGGTCTGGCTGAGCAGGCCATGAGGAAATGGGTGCATCCTCATGCTTACAGAAGGGAACAATGATCTCCAGCCGTTGCCTTTTCTCTGGGATACAGAGTCCTGCCTGTTTTGAACCCTTACCTTGCTCCCACAGGAAAGTAAGTGACCTATATCCATAGCTACTCAGTGATGTCACACATGCTGACACAGTACAACGGGCCTAAGGTCTGATAGGTAATTTACATATGACATTTGTCCAAGATAGTGTCAAAAATAGCTGATAAGCCAGGTAGAATGGAATATTTTGTCTTCTACCAGGTAAAACTTGCTCTCCAAATTAAAGGTTTCATTTCCTTTAGAGATGCACCGATGTCTAG